TTGAAATGATAATTTGGTCATTTGCTCAAAACATAAGTAGTCAATGAATGTCATATGCTAAATATTAAAAGTGATAATTTTCAGTTTTTCAGAAACTTAAAACAAATTAAAAAAAAAACTACATACACGATTTTTTTTTTTAATTCTCCATATATCTTATAAGAAAATAAAAATGGGAAATATTTTTTTAACAGTATTCAACACTTTCTTTATTTAACAAATAAGAGAATGTCACGGTAAAAGTCATCATTTTTTTGTAAGTCAATTTTTTGTATTACTATATTTTAGCATTTAAGTCAACATTTTTTAATTTAAGTAGAACGTAATTTTATTTCTATATTTTTACAGGGATATTTTTATTTCTGTAAAATTTTAACTAAAATGTTTTTCTACATAATATTTAATTCTATTTTATTTATTAAAAAATAAATTTTAAAGGATATTAAATTTCACTTACCCATTAATTAGAACAAGTGTAGTATAATTTTAATGATAATTTTTTTTATATATTTGTTATTTCTTTTGTTCAATAAATCGAAATCGTTTGTTATAATAGGTTTATGTCACATTGAGAGTTTTTTTTCTTTAAAAAGAGTTATTTATATAACGAATCATTTTTCCTTTTCAAAATGTGTTAATTTATTGAATTTCCACTGTTGGAGCAAAATTTTACAGTAATTGTTTGATGAGCAATGAGACATTGTCATCATACATAATTTTTAATACACTAATAAAAGTCTTTCCTAATTTTCCAATTTGCAATTATTTTAAGGAACACGTGATGAAACTATAATTTAAATTTTAAATTTATCTAAAGCCCGTTATATTATTAAAAAAAATTAGTTTTAAAAGTTAAAATTTATTAGTATTAGTTCCCTATAATGATTTGAGGATAATTTTAAAAAATCTTATAATTACAGACAGTTTTATTTTTTTAATTTAAGTAATTAATTATATTAATAAGCATAAATGAGTTATAAAAACAGGAGCATTGCCACTGGTTTTAAGGAAGCCCATAGTTTTGTGTGATAATTGACATTAAAACTCAATGTATTCATTACGATTTTGTTTCTAAAATATTGTGTGAGTTTAAAAGAGAAAGATGCATTAAATTATCATTAATTTCTCAAATAAGTCTTTTATTGAAGAATTTCTGTGAAATTTATTTTTTCATTTCTTATTATTATTAACATTCGACTATTCAAATGGGTCAATGGATGAAACAAGAGGTAGCATGTCCAAGACTTGTTAATTTCTCTGTTTGTTTTTGTTTAAGGTTTAGGATTTAAGATTGTCTGTTTTGATTATGAGGCATTGGTGGTTATAATTAATTTGGCTTTATGTATGAACATGCACGCAGGTTTACCCTTTGGTGGGAGCTATGTCTATTGTGACCATCATGGTCTTCCTTCAGCTCACAAGAAATGTCCTCACCAACCCTGATGATAGGTACATTTCATTCTCTTCCCACATTTTTCACTTACCTTCAATTCACAGAATTAAACTTTACCAAAATATTCAACCAGTGATAAAAAAATTATCTTAGGGAATATGATAAGTAATATTTTATATTAATTAAATATATGATAATATTATAATATATGAATTAGCATAATTTTTTTTGCCTACCCGAAATTATGCCTACCGTCAACCACTTCTTTAGTGACCAAAAATAGTTACCATTGCTAAATCTTCACAATATCATCAAAACAATTTGGTTCTGCTTTGATTTGGTTTCTCACCATTTTTGTAATCCTCAGCATCAAAAAATAAATATTCACTTTCAGGGCAAAAATTTTGAGTTCATGAATTTTATTTACTGGGTATATAAACTTAAAAAATAAATGCACGTGTGTTGTTCTTGTGTATCTCATGTTTCATTAAAATTTAATATTTTATTTTACAGTGTAAATTAAATTATATCATTTTAGAAATAAAGTAGACTTTGAAATTGTAACATGAAAGTGATGTGAACTTGATTTTAAAACTTTTATATATATATATATATATATATATATATATATATATAATTTTCTCTGTTTTAAAATGAATTTTATTAATTATTGTTAAAATACATAATTAAAAACATTTTATATAAACTCATATTTTTATGCATATTTTTTTATATATAAATTTGGCTTCAAGTTAAAATATAATTTTATTTTTTAACTAAAAAAAGTGAATTTTATTTGTAAGAAATTATATCTTATAAAAGATCTACAGTTTATTTCTAAAAAAAAAAGAAAAAAGGAAAAAATCTTCATTTCATTCTGATAAAAAAAAACAAATTATAATAAGATACGAACAAAATATATGTGATAAATATGTGTTTTTCCCTTTTAAAATGTGCTCTTACAACACCAAAATGGAATATAAAAAATTAAGAGGGAGAAAGAGAGTGAGAAATGAACTTTCAATAAATACTATAAATTCTTGGAATATGTTAGGCAGATTTTTTGCTTTTATATTTTTTTCAAATTTTTTTTTTAAATAAAATAAGCAATTTTTTTTTATATGCTTGTGTAATCTTTTTATTTTAATATAATCAGTTTTCTGTCTTTTTTTAAGAAATGAATATATTTCACCAATACGTAATTTTTAAAATTATAATTTTAAAATTACTAATTTTAAATTTAAACAAAAGTATGTTATTATATTATATTATAATTTTAAAAATACTTATTTATGTGTTTCAAGCCGAATCAATGACTACATCATTCTAAATACCCTTAGATTAGGGCCAGATAGCTTGTATAAATGGACTGAGGGCCCATTTTCATTTTTCTCAGATCTTGCTGAGAAATCAACATTGTTCAACTTTTCTTCTTTTAATCTTCAAACAACACAAATGGATTTGAATTTGATAAACTAATGCACATAAATGAGTAGTTATATGTAAGAATTATTAATCTTTTAAAAATACATATAAATTCCAATCATTGATTTTCTTAGCTCAATCACTTTAAAGGTATAACATTAATCAAGTCAAATTGAAATTAACATAACAATTGTAATATTTAACTATGAGTTTATTTTGCTATCGAAAATTATTGGTTTTTTTTGAAGGAAATTCACCAAGAGACAAAATATACGTAAACCTAACTTACATAAGATATTAACATTATTTTTAACAAAAAAAAATCTTAAAATATAAAATTATGAATTTTTTTTTATATATATTACTCAATTTTCTCATATAAAACTTAGAATTACATAACAAAAAAAACTTTATAAAAAAGTGATTTTAATTTAAAATCATATTTAACAAAACATAGATAAAGTGATTATACTATGTTGATTTCTAAACTACAAATCCAAAACTAACCACATGCTAACATTTTTCCCTTAAACTAAAAATTATTGAAAGAATCAAATTCTTTAGAAACCAATGAAAATAGGGGACACTTTTAGCTAATAAAAATATGGCAGGCTAGTGAGTAGTGTTCCTAAGATTGCACACTTAGCATTATACCAAAAGTGTATATAATACAAAAAATAAAACCAATTCCACGATTAATTCATTATAAGGTGTAAATTTCAAACCAATTAATAGATAATTGCTAATACAAAATGCAACTCAACTAAAGTAATAGAATAAATTGCAATTGAAACATCACTTTCATATGCCAATCATTTTCCACTTTTTTGCATCATCCAAACTCGAACCCACTTAAAAAAATTTGGTCTTGAAAAGCAAATAAATAAAGAGTGTGTACCCACAAGCCCTTTTAAGATTTTCAAATCTCATGTTATTTGCAATATCATAGGATTGTAATTGGAAAGTGGGATTTTTAGTTATGATTAGCCCAAATTCTTGGGCCATCCTTTTCAAATGATCCTTTCTACATGTGACACATTGAAAGAGTAGTTCCTTCGTTTAATTGATTAATTAATTAATTAATTTAGTAATTAAATTAATTAGCATAATGTGGTACTAGTTTATATATCCACCGACACAGATTCACAAAGTCATGGTCAAGGAAATCCACGAGTTTTTTAGAATAACGAGGGGATCAAGTCAACCTTGAGCCTGTGAAATTTGCACTCATTCAAACACAAACTTCAATGGTTTTTTGGTTTGTGACAATCATTTATAAGTGCATATATACTATAACTTTCTCAAAATAAGTCACTTCAGCCAATGAATTTTCTTATATAAAGCATGTGATTAGGTAGGTTAGGAAGTATCTCACACATGCTACCAATCTCAAAGGAATTGATAAAACAAAACACTGAATCTTATGATGTGTTTTGTGTGGGATACAAGACCTTATTAATAACATAATATTTATTTCCTTCCTCTTCCAAGATGATTTGGTTGCTTTGTTCAACAGTAGTGGGGTTCATGTTCTTTTCAATTATGTCTTTTAAACTATCATTACTTGATTTCATTGAAGCCAAACTTTTCTTGTCAATTCAAAAGTACTACTCCATTGATGGCTAGAATTGTTTAACTTTGCTAATATGAACACATAAGATGTGAAATAGAGCTCATGAGTATTAATGTAGCATACATCATTTGTCTTTTGATGTAAGATTCGACCAATAACAATTGAACGTATGTTTTCGTAATATATAGTACAGTACAGCATTGTCGATTATGTTACAAAAGAAAGTGATATGTAACGACTATTAGAATATGATGTGTGGAAATGACATTTATAGTGAGTGAGTGGGAGAATCCAAATCCATTACAATCACACTTTTACAATGAGAAAGTACAAAACTTTCACAACTTTCAAACACTAGTAATCGCAAAGTTAATTTATTTAATTTTTTTTAAAAGGGTTTGATCTGGAAATGATAAGATTGAAAGGAGGGGATGAGAGAGGTGGGAAAAGGGGTGTACCAATTGGGCTCAAATTGCTATGTGACTAGTACTTGTCAATGGGTTTGTTTTGGTACCAAAGATGATTATGATATTCCCACACGAGGGGGTAACATGCAATATTGCAATGGGGTACCCTATTTTCCCTTGTTGTTTGTGGCATTAAGGGCAGTTAGTTCCAATTAGCCAACCCCACAAGGCGTTGAGCTTCATCCTCAATGTGGCCAAGCAATGACCGAATCACATGGGTTTTGGTGCTCTTGTGTAACATAAGGTTACCTAATGTGGTCTCAAAGTAAGGGTAACGTATAGGATTGTGACATGGAAAATGTCCCCATTCAACTTCATCCATTGCTTTTAAAATATCCATACATATATTATTAATACCATCAATTGGAACTTTGTGCTATTATTATATCATAGTATTTCCCCAAGTTTTGTTTTCATATACATTAATAATTAACTACCAAAGACAGAGTTTTAATTACATTATTATGAAACAAATATATGTTCCTCGAACAAGTTTTGAATTCTTTTACTTTATCCGTGAAAAATGAATTAGATAAACTGATCCTTCATAATCAAGATATTCCTCATCTAGTTTTATTGAAAGATTGTTGACGGACTAGCGAAACATTTCTTTAAAATGAAAATACCTTTATTTGGTTCTTGTTCATAAGATAATACATCAAGCATTATTAAAAAAAAACTAATAATCGAAACATTTCTTTAAATTTTACATAAAATCTAAAGGCATATTGTAGTCTTAAAACAAATTTGCATGAGTGGGAATGAAGGATATAAAGCAAAGACAAAGACAAAAGCAGTTCAAATTATAAAACAAACCCAAATGGGGACCTTGTACACATGGGGTGGGGTGCTTCATCTTGTGCTGTGGAGCCACACACCATAAAGCTAAGAATCTTTTGCAAAAACATGGATATGGGGAAGGAGAAAGCCCTACTTACAAATATGTACACATCACTCCAAAAAGTTAAAGATTGCTCTATATCTTTCAATCTTCCTAATCATAAGAAACACAATTGGTAGGGTTTAATGTGCATAAGAGAAGCTCATGATAAAAAAAATCAAATTATCTACTTCTATAACTAAGGGTATAATATTCAAGTAAATAAAATTAAGAAAAATCTCGTATCATTAATTTCAACTTAAGATCAATTTAATCGCGATATGAGATTCATAATTATTGCATAAGTATATAATTAGTTCTATATTGTATTTTTCTGTTAAAATGGTATACTTGTTAATATATACATAATTATTTTAATCAAAAGATACTATAATAACTCATGAATACATTTTAAACTCTCCTTTTTTTTTTTGTTTTCCTTTCACAAACGAATGACAACAAAAATGCACTTAGTTTCTTGAAAAGTTATGAAAAGATAAAATGTTGCATCACACGTGCATATACTTCCAAAACCAACATATGGCTGATATACATTCACGCGTCATTTTTGAGTAAGATTTTCTTCGAATCCAGCTTTCCCAATGAATAATTAACACTTTTTCTTTTTTATATTTCTAATTTAAATTAGAAATGTGAAAGTGAGTCCATCTAACTCATTCATGTTAACTTGTTACGAGTTACGTGGTGAGTTAATCTCAACTCATTTTTTAAAAAATAAAAATTTTTATAATTTATAATTAAGTTAATGAGTTAAGTAACTTGATTAACTTAAATATATATTTTAATTATTTTTTATTATTTTAAATTATTAAAATAAATAGATTAGGGACGAATTCGATAAATTAATTTTTAAGACAAAAAATAATCAATTTTTGTCAATAACTCGTGTCTTATTACTCGATTTTGTTATTTTGAAGTGGTCGAACTTATCTTTCAATTTTTTTCGCACTTTCTTTTCATCGTGTGAATTAATTTGCAAACTAAAATCATTAAACTTTATTTGTCTGTTATTAAAAAAAGATTTTTAAAATACTACTAGAACTTTTTAAAATATAAATGAAAATTGACTAAACATAAAAATGTGAAAAATAAAAGATTGGGAAGAGGTTATAATACATGAAAAGAGAAGTGGGAAATCTTGGTCAAAGACAAGGAGACGGTTGTGAAGGAGCATCTTGACGGTGGGTGTTGTTCTCCACCAAAAAGATGACGATATTCAGAAGCATATCGATGAGGAATGACATGTCTCATCAATCAACTCTCTAAAGTTGATAAAGAATTAAAAATATACCACAACTCTACTTGGGATGTGGCAAACCATGTTATCTCTATGCCTCACCATCTACTCTAGTGAACAAACCTTACGATCCTTCCAGTAAAACATTTTTTTTTTAGTTTTTTATATATTATATATATTTATTTAAAGAAATCATTCATGAATTGAATTCTAACAACGTAACAACCTATTATTAAATATTCTCGAGAGTTAATAATAGAAATATTTTTATAAATGAAATACGAATCAATTATATAATATCACCCTTAATATAATGTTTTAATATTTTTACGCCCACAGTAATATTAATCTCTTATCTAAATTTTACTTATATTTTATTGGTAATGTATTCTTTTAGTGAATCTTTTTACAAATATGTAATATTAGAACCATAGAAATAAAGAAACTTAAGTAATTTATAAGTTAGAAAGATACATAATCTAATGTTTTATAGCTTTGAATTGAAAGTGATATCAATACCTTACGTGGATTAGATTTATGTGTTATTGGTGTTTTTTTTTTCAATGAATTCCTTATAAAAACCTAATAATATATATATATATATATATATATATATATATATATATATATATATTTAGAGAGATTATACCAATCAAATATGAGTTCAATTTACATACGCCACCTTCCATCAATTGTGGTCAATTTTCACGTTTAAAGTATTATTTATTTTAAAGTTCTAGTTATAGATTTATTTAAAAAAAAAGTCTCAATAGATTAAAATATATATATATATATATATATATATATATATATATATATATATATATTTTTTATCAATTAAAAAGAGAGTCACAAGTAACCATTAAATAGATACATACTTGTTCTTTTGACTCATGATCAATTACTCCTAGACCAATCTACTTTTTGTTCATTTACATAATGAGGGGCTTGAAAGAGCATGATCTTCACCATCTCTAAACAAGTGAGTCAGGGCAAGTTAAAAATAAGTATGATCAATTATAAAAAAAAAAAAACATATCTTCTTCTTTCCTTATTACTTATTTATAATATGTACATTGTTAAAAAAAAATTACCTTCTATCATGAAATAATTTATCTTTATAATTTCTAGCATATTTTAGTGTAATTTCAATCTTTTAAATTTTGTGGATGATCATATTTCAATCTTTTAAACCTTAACGACAATAAGCTTAAAACTTCTATGATAGTAGTTTTATTTTGTTGATTTTTATTTTAAAAATGTGTCATATGTATATAAAATCTTATGTAGAGGAAATTTCATTTTAAATAACTATGTGTTTTTTTGGCTTGTTATAATAATAGACACTCTAAACTTGTTTTAAAAAAAATTCTAATCAACTAAATGTAACATTCTCTACTAGTCAAAATTTATATAAAAGAAAATAAAAGGTTTATTTCTACTTAACAAATGGTATTTCTACTTTATTTCTTAATTTTTAATCATTAAATATTCTAACATCAAACAAAACAAAACATGAAGAATATAGATTAAAATGCAACTTCAAAGCAATTCCTCTTATCTCTATTTTAATGCTATTCAAAATATTTTACAATTAAAATTTATTAAAAGAGAAGTTTTTTGAAAGAAGTACTAAAATTGATGGCGGTATTAATAGTGCGTTGAAGAGAGGGAGGAGTAATAAAAAGAGTGTGGTGTGTGTCTGGGAGTGTGTGACGGAGTTACTCCACAGAGTGAGGTGTAAAATTTGGGTGCTTGGTTTGGTCCATAGTCGTTACCCTCCCTCTGCAAGAAAGGACAGTGTTGGGTTATGTGGTTGGGGTTAGGGTTAGGGTTAGGGATGAGGTGGGTCCACGCAGCAGCATCGGTGAATGGTGGGTGTTTAATACAACCTTGGTGAGTGCCTCGGGAGTGTGAAGAAGCGTGTGCACGCATGGCGCGTAATTAATTAATTAACACTGCCACGGCACAAGAAGCAGTAAATGCGACACGCACGCACGGTGGGTGGTGGTGACGGGAATGAGAATGAAAAGGTGGGTGACGTTATCGTGGCTAACGGACAAGGCAAGAAGAAAGTAAACAAATGCAATGCATGCACACACACTCACAGAGGCGGAGGAAACAAAGACCCCACAAATCCATCAATTCACTGAAAATAGACAGCTGCACGTGGACATGACCTACCACACGTGCACTCGATCATCACGCATACTTATGCATACCCATTCTCATAAACCACCTTCTATATGCTCATAATTTTAATAGAGATAAATTAATTAATTAATTTTAATTTTTATATATAAAAAGTAATTTACCTTTTTCTGAATTTTTTATTTTAATAGTAATTTTTTTTCACCTTATTAAGTGGGTAAAGTTGAGAATTCAAATATTAATTAAAATTCCACTTCAAATAGAAATAAATAATTAAATAATTTTAATTAAAACTCATCAACTTAATATTTTAACATTTTAAATTAAAAATAGTATTATATTATTTTATATTTCATTCTTAAAAATCTTCCTTTATTGAAAATATTAACATGTAAATTATAATTAGGTTTTATTGTTATCACTTCAATTTTTTTATTATGACAAATTGAAGGAAAATAAAAAATTAAAAGAAATTAATTTAGTTAATTTCTTTTAGAATTATCAGAAAATCAAATCAACCTTAATTATTAATAATATTTAAATTTTATTATTATTCTTTATTTTTATTATTGGAAACATATTCATTATATTTATTAGAAATAAAATAAATCAAAATTTAACATATTTTATAAAAAATAACAATTCTTATAAAATTTGTCTCTTCTTATTTTAATTTATAAATGATTTTTATATAAATCTTCGTATTTAAAAAAAAAAATCTCTGTCTTCTCTCTATTTGCTTTTCAATTCAAGTTGTTTCTTAGAAAAAAATAGAACATTTTTCCATTTCTATTCTTTTAAATAGTTTATCTAAATATGTTAAAAATCATAATATATATTATTTGATTAGAAAAAAAAACACTTTTTTTTTCTAAAAAGTTGTTAAACAAAAATATCCATAGTTTAATGACAGGATGAAATGAAGTATAAAAGATAAAGAATATATGAAAAAAATAATAGGGAATTTCATATTTTTCATATTACTTTTCTTCTTTAATTCTCCTACCCCAAACATAACCTACATTGATTTCATCACTTAATTAAACACACAGTAACAGATTTTGGGTATGGCAATATATATTATTAGTATAGCATCACACTGCTTAACTCTCAAAATTAAAAAAAAAAAATGTTTACAGAAATATTTATACACATCACTCATCAATTAATTTATATGCCTCTAATTCTTACTATGTGATAATCTTATTTGGTCAAATTAATTTATAGATGATACTCTTTCCAAATTTCGAATATAAATAAAAATATCTCTTGATATTAGTCTTAAATATAACTTAATAATTTTTATTTGTAATTTCTTATAAAATATTTTTTTATAAAATTTTATCGAAAACAAATTTTTAAAAAATAACAAGTTTTAAACGAGATTGATAGAATGTTAATTGATGCTGCGAATCAGCACTAGTTAAACATTTTCTTAGATTAGTTAAAGAAAACTTTTTATATATTTAGAGACTGAAAAATGCCCTAATTAAATTTTAAATATTATTTTACAATATTTAAAAGAAATTTTAGAAATAAAATATATTATTTTAATTTTATAAATGGATTAAAATTATCAAAGACATCTTTAATAAAAATCTTGAAAAATATAAAACTATATTTACTCTATCATGTTACATTAAAATATATATATAATTAATTTTATTTTTATAAAATATTTAAAAAAAATCTTAAAAAAGTAGAAGGAAGCATTGACGTTCCTTTATGAGGCCTGCAAGGGAAGAAAACCGAGAATGGAAGGTAGTGCTCCGTTTGCAGAGAACGCATTAACTCCCTTCGCTTGTATATTTATTCCTTTCGAACATGACAACTGAGATTGTGAGTCTCAAGAAATGAACACCACCACTTTGGAAAATCAAATTTCTCTATTCTTTCCTTCGTACTCTTAAATGCATCAACTATTAAATAAATAAAAAAAATACAAACAGCGTAAAGCAGTGCACTCTAAATAATTTTTAGCTTTAAGTGAAAATCATTTTTGAAAAATTCTCTTAAGTCAAAATTTCCTCCACATTTTCCTAAATTATGTTTTTAGGTGTTTAAAATTTTATTTTACCTTATTCACTGATAATATTATTAAATAAACTTCTAAGATAAATATGATTAATTTTTACGTTTGAGATATTATTTTTAAATTTTTCGTTTGTCATATTTTTCTTTTAAATATCTTGATAAATTAAGAAAAAAAAATTGTATGAGATTAACGGATGTATGGAATTAATTATAGATGAGTTGAATATGAGAATGAAAAATTTATAATATAGATTAATATGAAAATGATTAATTATCGTAAATGTATCGTTAATTTATGGAAGCTATCGAAGAAAAGTCAAAGGTTGCTATGAGAGATATATATGGATTCCATAATAATAGCAACCGAGTTGGAATGGCCCCAAGAAACAAGCAGTTGAGACTACTGAGCCTGAATTAGGGTTAGACCACTAAAAGTTTGATCAAAGGATCCTACATAAGCAGGAACATCCGTTTCATGCTACCTAGTAGTGTCCTTTTCAATGTCCACAAGATGACATGCATGGAGAGTAAATAAGAGAGTGGTAACAAGTTCAGCTTTATCCTATCGTTACTGAACGTCATTATTAGATCAATTATGTAGAGTGTATTGATGTTGTCACAAAACAGAACCCAACCAAGAGGCTACCATGAGAAGCTCTGGAGCAAACGACAATACAAGTACACTATTTTCCACTATCAAGACACACACATAGGGAGAGACATTACATTCAATTGTCTTATACAATATTTTATATTAATAATATTGAGATAATGACTAAAATTATCAGTATATTAATGATGTAAATCTTATTTTATAAATTAATTTTATAAGATTAAATTAAATTTTTTCGCTTTTAATATGAAGAGTTATAATAGAATTAGGGCATGGTGGAAGAATGTTTTGTATTATTTTTATATATTTTGTTTTATGTTCATCTTACGATATCATTTGAAATCGATCTTGACTCGTAATGATGTAAGATTTATAAGAATAACATATCATCTTCTATTTTATCAAATTATGTTCACTGTTATAATTTTACAGAGACCAATGTAGATTTATGTTATTCTAACTCTACTATTATATATATATATAATTGTTCTATGCAAAGTGATTTTGCATGTAGAGTATTAAGAGAAGAAGTTAGATATCAGTGGGTCTAATAACCAAAAATAGGTTTGTGTATTCAAGAGTGTAAAACTTTTGTTCTACAGTGAATTAAAGAGGTTTCGAAACACACATCATCCTAAATAAAACGAAGGTCGAAGTGAATTTGTAACGACAAAAACTGTGATAAAGCTACAACATATATGGTTAGGTTAGGTGATAGAAAGTTGGGCAACACAGGGTTCGCAATTGGCGTGGTTGATAGAAACAGATGAAGGTGTTGATAAAGGACCGTGTCAAAACAAAGATGCAATCATTCATAGCGTAATTTGGAGGGGAAACTAATATGTAATGAAAAAGAAAAATATGATATGATAAAAAAGAACTAGTGTAAGGAAGCGAAAGTTTTGAAGCTTGAAGGCAATAGAATCAGCCAAAAACGGAGCCGTAATCAAAATGGTATGCATTGGCTTTATTCAGACAAAGTGATCAATGAATGTTTCTCACTAGAATCCCATTAATGTGGTGAAAGATGGGATATATAGCATTTAGTATGTATCAGGGACAAGCCAGCTATGATTGGGAAAGTTCAAAATAAGCAGCCAAACAATGTTGAGAAGAAGAGGACAACCCCACGAGAATTGACCAAAAGGGTCGAGCGACAAAATCTCATACCTAAAACAAGAAAATAGCTAGCTAGGGTTAAACCCTAAAAAGGTTGGCTTAGCTAGGGTAAATATGTTGACTCTTTCTCAAGTCTTAGTTGGACCCGAAATTGTGTTTCAATTTCAATAGTTTTTGTTTGGTTGGAAAGCCACTCACGTTTGCACGTGTGCACATGTGCAAGCATGTATGCATTTTAGAGAGAGAAATAGATAGAGAGATGCCCAATTGCAATTATTAGAGAAAAATAATAATTTGATGGTGGAAAGGAGAAGTAGAAGGAAAAAGGTACTCAATTTCTGGCAAGGAAAAAAAAGCACTAGAAAACAAAATAGAGGCCCTCGTGCAAACTTGATGTCTCAATGTACATAAAAAAATTTGGTTTAATCATAAATAAATGAGAAGAGAATAAGCAAAGGAAAAAATGGTATATGCTACATGCGTGCGTGTGGGTAGACATTCCTCTCACCTTCTCTTTTGCATCCATTGTTATGGCACTCTCTTTCTCTCTCCAAACCAATTATTACACACTTTTTTCTTCAACCCTAACGTGCTTCTACGAATCCTATCTGTAGTTCCATGAATCATTTTCATGATGCACCAATTAGTTCCTATCATATGCGGATAGATATATTCATATCTTTCTTTTGCATAATTTGCTTTCGGAATTTAATATTAAGGGTATTTTATTTCTTTCACTCCCTTGTTCTCGTTTTTCTTTTCCATTTTCTTTTAGGGTTTTGTTTACCATGATTGGTCCGACAGTACCCAACTCAATTATTTGATCTTTAATTAATGTGTTCCAGAAAATGGTCCCTGTTATGCCATTTGTCTCTTCACCCCCTGTCCTCAACTTTGCTATCCTAAATCCATTAGTTTATTGCAATGTTCATTTCAGATTTGGAAAGAATTTAAAAGTTGACATTCAAAGTAAGAATTTCGTCCTGTGAAAAACTATTCAATGTCCTCAAATATCTTC